GTAATATGTAGATACTCGTATCTTGTAGTGGCGGTGTAAGAATGTTCACTACCCCATAACGTTCCGTAAGTGTCGTAAGAAGCGACAGAGGGAAAGAAAGATGAGTACCTACTACTCATCTCATCACATGTCAAATGTGGCAACTATGGCAATATTATCATATGTGATGCATACCTGGTGAGGTATATGATATGTCCAGCAGTGGACTTTTGATAGGCTGCAACGGTAACGGTAACGGTAACGATATATTTAATTTGTTGTATTTGATCCTATGGATAACACTTAATGATTGAAAAAATGGCCCCAGAAAACAAGCCTAATTATTTTTCATTGAGTTATTATTAAATCTGGAGGACGTTATTAAAATGAAGTGTCACATTATAGTCGGCGAACCCATTGTCCTCAACGGTCTTAAGGCCTCTGTACACAATGGCAATGCTGATTTATCACGGTGCATTGCAGAGCGTGATCCTTTGTATACTCGGGTTTTTAAGCCGGCAATACATGTTGGCCAAGCCTCAGCCAACGCAAGCGTAGGCAAATTGATACAAGGCGAGTGCTACAGTCTACATATTGGTTAATACGATTTTCAATAAATAAGACTTTCAAATTTCAAACTCAGCTGAACCCTGGTGAATTCAAAAGTAACAATCTTTCTTTAATTCTGATTAATTGAATGAACCAATGGAGAGAATTTTCAAATGATTTTTAAGTTTGAAGGATATAATTTATTTAGGTATACGTCACAGGTTATATCAATAAAAATAAAAATACACTTACATAACTTACATTGCGTATGTAGAAGCAATGTTTAGAACCATCATATAGTTAATTCTATAAGGAATATTCACGCTTACGCATTTAACAAAACTTCAACCTCTTTTTATTTCTAACAAGCACACGCGAATAAAAAAGAAGTTATTAATTTAGACCAGATTTATAGAAAAACTAAAAAATTTGTGTAGTCGCGCCTACGTGGATTTTGTGTTTGTGCTCTGACACTCGATGCTTACGACAGTCTTCGAAAGTAGAAGTTAAACCCGTGGCTAAAATCGGCATAAAACATTATTAATAAATAACCAAATGATAAAAAAATTGTTAATTACAATTTTAAGTGGTGATTTACGCCAGCGTTTAAAGGCAAAATTTGTGGTGAGCTAGGGCATAATCTAAAATTTAAAAAAAAACGAAGCCATGTGAAGTTCACCAACACGCATTGAAGCAGCATGACAGATATTTCCTTGCCCTAAAACCCTCTCAAAAGTTAAAGGGGGCCTGTGCTTGGGCACTTTGGAACTTGTATTAGCTGTAATTTTACTTTGCTTTTTAATTTATTACAAAAACGTTTACTCCTTAACAGATGGCGACGGCGGTGGTTTAATGCAACCAGATGAAACTTTCCCAAGCAGTCTAATGAATACGCTGGAGTTCGACTTTAATACTACAGCAGCTCACTTAGACGCGGCTAGACATTTCCCTGATCAAGTCGATATGTTCAAAAGAAACGCGAGAACGGTAGTCCAGGAAATGTCATCCCTAGGACCAACTCTGGATCCGGTTTTACTCGAGCTCTTTAGAACTGAATTTCATATAAATTTTCTCTGGGGCGAACGCGGAGCACTGACGACCCCAAATCAAAGATTTGCAAGGCTTACTGACATACTTAGTGCGATGGCTTCAAAATTAGTAAATCAGCCCCCGCTTCCAGACGATATGATTTAAAAAATTAAATACTAAAAATTTTATAAAATTTAAACCATATCATCGAAGTGTATGTGCCGGAATATATAATAATCCGTGTTTGTATTACACATTGATTTATATATTACACATGTTTGTATAACTCAATGGTATTACATTGAGTGTAGTCTTAGTTATGTACTTCCATGTCATTGAGATGATATTACGTACCTAATTATCATGCTCATTCATAAATTAGTTACTTTTCAATAGTTAGTTTACTTTTTATACATTTATGTGATTATGATTGAAATTAAAGTGAAAAAATAATAATTTGTGATATTTCTGTATGTTTAAAATACGTTTTTACTTTCATTTTTATCATAAAAAGGTACAGTGAAAGCCAATATACTTTTAAACAATAAAAAGAACTGAAAACTGATAAAATAGTAATAAATCTAGTTTATCGTCGTCTTTGTATTCTTTGTTACATTTTACTTTTAAAAAGAATTGGCAAGCAGAAAGAATATAATATACATATAATATTTATTAGAATAGAATATTTTAGGGTGACGTTTTGGAAATGCATGCACCTCGCCTTATTTTTTAAATTTTTAATTACCTGTTACTGAATGCTTTTATCTTTAAATCACTAGTTTGAAAATAGATAATCTGCATAGACGCAATTGTTAAGTTTAGGATCAAGTATAAAAAATACAATAAATTGTTTATTAATATTGAAATAAAAAAAAAACTTCGACAACTTGAATATAATCAGACGTTACTTTACCGAAATGTTTGCCTGTTTAAATTAGTATACTTCAAACAAGTAGCACGAGTGAAAAGGCGTATTATAAGCTAAGTTAGCAAGTATTTACCATCTTCGGCTACATCACCACTTACCATCACGTGGGATTGGACTGAATTATAATTCAGCCCATTTGCATTTAAAGCCAATTCTTACCAGTTTTTACATATTTTAGCTATATTAAACCGTAAAATAGAGAGTACACGTGTACATGTGTACTCTCTATTTGTGCTTGCGCGCATACTCGTGCACTGTAATCCTGTCCTGTGCAGATGGCTGGTCTCCGTTGAGACGGGCCGCTATGACTGAAATTGAATCTGGAGGACATTATTAAAATGAAGTGTCACATTGTAGTCGGCACATTGTAATTGACGTTATCATTCAGAATACAGCTATTCTCGTCTCGTATCCAATCTTGGCTATTTTGAATGTCCTCTGGCAGTTCTTACGAGTTTCCAGAACATTTTACTCGTAATATTTACCTGGAAGTTATCCGATATTCTTCTATCATTTCTATCCGTTCTTTCGTGATTTTTCCTTTCAACTACTTCTTTTACTGTCTTATTTTGACGTCTAAAGACTGCCTTTTTCTTTCAATATCATCATTTTTACCACCAGAATTACCAGCCGTGGTTGCTAGTAAATCTAGCCATTCTCTACACAATTCATCCAGACCATTTATATTTTCTCTCAGTTTACATGTGTACTTGTCTTTCACATCTTCATCTTGAAACCTCTCTGTTCTTATATGCTGTAACGCAGTGGTAGACACAGATGTCCGATGCCTCTAACGTCTGAATAGATCATTAATTCGGCATAAGACCAAGAAATGTTCCGTCCCTACGTTGGACCTCCGTTAAACCCTTGTATCTACCACTGCGCTCCTCATTCTTTCATCCACAATTATGATGATTCTTCGCACCCCTGTCCCATTAAAGGGGCGCCGGGAACTCTGGGCCATTTCTTTACTTTTTTGCCTCATGTTGCGAAACTAGAGGGTGTTAACACACGGTGAGGAGCCGAGTCTGTTCTTTCGGCTTTGTCGCTCGTTTTGCACCACCCGGTCGATACGTGTAGGGTGAGTCTAGGATCGAAGCCTACGGACGCGAGCGACTTATCCCCTGTGTGTAAAAGTAGGTAATGCAGCCGGATATGATAGAGTATCACTCGAAATGCTAAGGGCTTACGGGGAAGTGATGGCAGGCCTGCTGTACACCTTGTTTTATTTACGTTGGGAACTGAAGCAGGTACCGGGAGACTGGTGCAAAGCCGTGATAGTCACAATATATAACGGAAAAGGGTCGCAGCAGGACTTTAAAAACTACCGTGGTATCAGCCTTATTTGTTTTTCATTGTGGGAAAACTGTATGCTAAGGTACTGAAACTGATGGAAAAATTTGGGATGTACAAGCGGGATTTAGAAATGGAATGGGATGTACAGATCTAGTCTTTTCCATGCGCATGATCGCGGAGAAGTTTTTGGCCAAAAACCAAAAAGTTTTTTGTGCGTTCATAGACTTTGAAAAGGCTTATGACAGAGTGTTATGGCAAACGCTGAACTCATTTAGGTTGAGCGCTGGGTTGACACAGGCATTGAAGTCTCTTTATAGGGACTCTAGTGATTGTATTAGGATCAACGGGGCCTACTTGGACTGGCTTGGCATCCATAAAGGTGTCAGATAGAGCTATATGGCTTCCCCGTGGCTGTTCAACCCATTTATGAACAGTTGTTAGGAAAAGAAAGAAGAATGCGGGTTAAGAATGGGTGAATTAACGTCAAATGCCTTTTGTACGCCGATGATCAAGTCATATTTGCATCGTCGGCGGCCGAGTTGCAAATGATGGTGACATTAATGAACATGTCATTAAAATAAAGGGTTATGAAAATAAATGCAAGTAAGAAATAAAAAGAAGAAAGTAAAACGATATGTGAAATCAGAATCGAAGGGAAGTTGGTCTGGCGAATTCAAAAAATAATTTAAAGTAAGTTAACATTACATACAATCCACGAAGAAACACGAGTAAGTAAACAAAACATATATTTAGTATTGTTTTAAAAATCTTAATGGATCAAAGAAAAAACATACAAAGTTGTTGCGTTGTTAACTAAACAGTTTCCGTCGTTGCTCGCAATTGTCGGTTAACATTCATAACATTGTCATTGATAGTTCAATTCATTAGAATTTGTTGTGTCGATCCGATTTTTAAACATCCTTGTGATGGTGTAATTCTTAACCAGTCTCAGTCTGGCTACATTTCAAGGCATGGCTTATGGAAAAAGTATATGTGGTTTAAAACTTGGATTTTTTATAGCTCTGTTAATAATTTTTACTGTTAATGGATATGAAAAAAGTAAGTACCTCACGTTATGTATAAGTATTTATATACGTTAAAGTAATTCTTTTAACTTTTTATTTTCAATTACTTCGTCCTTTATTGATAAACGTGTGCGCGCTTTAATTATTAAATTGTGTTAACAGCGTTGCGTAAAATCGTGCGGAGCCAGTCTAAAATGGTTCAGAGGCCATTCAGTGAAATGGAAGGAGTATTTTGGAAAAATGTTTCTCTGTCTTCAGGCCCTTATCGAACTAAAGTCCACGAAGCCTTATTTTCAGGTTATACACAAGTAAAACAAGTATTAAATAAAAAACAACGTCCTAAAATATCAACCCTTTTATCTGCAGTAGATACTTTCCGTGGTGCTTCAGGTTACTCTAAATTTAAAAGGGGTGGACGAGGAAACCGACATCCGAATGAGCTCAGGCTAGCACGCGAAACATTAACCAAAATTACGCCATCAAATAGCGTTTTGTTTCCCGAGGACAACAGATTAGATAAAATAAACAATAGTAGTTTTACACCAGAAATAACTGTAAATTCCTTTTACGAAATACCAAAGCCGTCCAGGTTTTTTCCTCTGGTAGATGAACAAATTATGCAAAGGTCGGAACATAAAATAGAAGATAAAGGAAAACCGATATTTACATTAGGGAATCGAGAGTCCCATACAAAAAATAGTGTAAAAGGGGTTTTTGTAGCAAATACCGATATTAATGAAAAATCTTTAGCCATAAATGATATACATGTGCAAAAACTTCAGGAATACGATGTTGATTCCGATAAAGTTGATTATTTAATTGAAGAAGGAACTCCTAATATTTTCCCCTTATATAACTACAGCATCCCTTTTAAAGGTTACACATGTGTAACTTTACAACAGTATAAAGCAGATATCGATGCGCAGGAACAATTTTCGGAATTCGAAATTGAGGTAAGTAAGCATTTTCTACAGTGTTATGTTTCTTTATTTAGGTCTATCGTTCACAACAACGTTCTATATCATGACCGTAACCGTTCCGGTACATGTAAAAATTCTTTGGATAAATTAATTCGTTAGCCCAACAACTACACTAATTGTCACCATTCCGCCACCGACAAAAACCCTAGCGTGCCATGAACGGACAAACACAGCGAATTCACGAAAATAATAATGATAATAATTGATGACAAGTAAAAAAACCAAACCTACACTGGTTTTGCTTAATATGATTCCGCCAATTTATTAAGATGTTTCCGAACCTTCAGCTGTTCTCCATTCAAATGTCACAGCCATTGACTAATTATCCGTGTTTTCGCGATATCCCCATAATTTATAAATTACTTATTATTATTTGAAACAAGGGAGTTTTGGTTATATATATATATATATATATATATATATATATATATATATATATATATATATTATCATAAAATACTAAAAATTTATGTTTCATCTGACATATGTACTTATGTATTATAATTTTTATTATATTTTATAAGTATATATTTTGTGGTGAACCATTTATATATTTTATGTATTTTATTTCCATGTATTGCAAAAATTTTAGTTATTTTAGTATAGTGTTCTCATATTAACTTTTTACACCTACTTCATTATATCTCTGCATCACCCCAAGGTGGACTGGCAGAGAATGCCTTAAGCATTAAGTGCTTCTATAATACCACATGTGTATATGAAGCTTTAAATAAATAATAAATAAATAAATTTCTCAATCTTACTAAGAAAAGATTAGGAGCTTTGCAACTTTGAATAATACTTTTAACTCTGATTGGCTAGATTTTGGTTTATAGACGTATAGTTTATGAGTAATGATTTTTTTTTAAATGATATCCTTAGTTTTTACACAAGGAATATTGACCCAAAGTTACTTCTGTAACAGCTTCGGCGCTGCGGGAAATGAAGCCCCTTCGCCCTTGCGTAGTCTCCCTCCGCGTCTACGTCTTTACAAAAACACTCTAGGGCAGTCAGCACTACGTGGAGTCGGGGCGTGCTGGTTCGGCTTTAGAACAGATTCGACCAATCATCTAATTATCCGTGTTTTCGCGTTATCCCTAGATTTTTTCCGAAAATCGGTTTATCAAATTATCCAACGCCATATTATATAATTAAAAGTATTTTAGTTTTGAACCAAGAAGTATGTATGTATTTTTATAAGTATGCTAATATCTAATAAGTAATCTTGGGTCAATTTCTATCAAGTTTTTTGAAAGTCGCAAGCCCTCGGCTGAGGAGTATAAGCGGGCGAGAGTTAGAAGAAAAGGGAAAGAAACCGATGGCCTATATAGAGGAGCACAGCCATTTGTTTTTCACTATATTTATTATATGTATTTATCTATTTGTATAGCTCGAAGAACCGATAACCGATGGGAGAAAAGGTTCTCAAGTGGCAGCCTCGTACCGGTAGGCGAAGTGTAGAGTGACCCCCCACTAGATGGAATGTGACGATCTGATAAGTCATATGATAAGTAAGATGGATGCAGGTGGCTCAAGATCGTGCTTTGTGGCATTCATTGGGGGACCCAATTGGCCTATGTTCGGCAGTAGACCAATGAAGGGCTGTAACGATGATGATGACTGATGATGAACCACTTGTATTTAAGCTCGTATGATAGCGATAGCGATTAACGCTACGTACTAGTACGCGTTTTCTCAGACTTGTTAAATATGCAGATAAGCTACTGTGATCAAACCAGTCTTAGAAACGACATCCGAAATAGGTACTTTTGGTCGGCTGATATGTTGATACCTCAAATATACCCAATGTTGATGTAGGTATTTTATAAACAACACTTAATGTTCAACAGTTCTTATAATATTGCTGTAAGTAAGATATTTTTATGTGATGTGGATGTTGTTCATGTAATTTTTAATATATAATAATTATAAATATTTACAATTAATTTTTACGTTTACGAAACAAGAGGAATTACAAGTGTGGGTAGCGATTTAGAATTATAAACTAATTATCAGGTTTAGGCAATGTGCTCGGCATATGTATACACACACGCACATAAATATACGTAAGTCATAATTACACAATTACACAAACATACGTCAAAAGTGTGGGTATCAGTTTAATGCGATTGCCAATTTACCTGCTAAGGGTGGTGGTTATGGCAAAATGCTAGCACTTCTGCTGGGCAAGACTCATGTAGTCTACTGATACCTAATGTACTTAGATGATATACTAAAATTATTTACTTTTAACACTTTAATAAGTCACTATGGCGTGTTATTAGGTTAACAATAAAAAACTTTATTTTTTTCTTTTAAAGCCTCCTTGGGTTATGAAGAAACATTTTTGGAACAACATCTTCGACAGCCGTTACGAGTCCCTAATGAGAAATTCAAAATGGCCACCGTTAAAAGTAATTACCACAATCCACAATTATCCAATATTTAATGCAACTGTTCCTACTTCTTTTAGTATGATATTTACAAACCACTTAAGTTTAATTTACACTATATTTTGTAAATAATCAATTAAATAAAACACTAAAAATAAAATACGTGTAGCACTCGGTGACTGCCGCGGTAAAGCTATTGCATAGCATTTTTTATCAACTTATGCAATTATAATTATTTATTTATTTTATTTATGCAGTTAAGTCTTTGATATTAAATCAAGTTACACTTTTTGAGCGTGGTGACCGATAAGAAAACAATTTTTTTTCTCTTATTGAATAAATGAGAAGTTAATATTGTTTAAAATATTTTTAATATCTTACAATACATGTAGGTTATTCAGGAATTTTTATCATTGAGTTAGCAGCTAGTGTACACGCATACGTCTAGTCGCACGCACACAAACACCAGTGCCGAAGTCTGCCGAACTGAAACGACGTTAGACGATGCACGGCTTTCAACGCCACACCTCCGTGCCCGTCTTTCTGGATTCGGTCCCCGCGCTCAAGGCCCGCGATAGAAGCTATGCAATAGCTTAAAAAAACATAAAAAAATTGAAAAATGTTGTGGTCCTTGATTCACAATTAAGGGTACGATCAATGATTTATAAATATTTGTATATTCTTGTCTAACAGGTTATTTTACTACCGTACACTCATGTCGACTCAATCTGGAAACATACCTTTGAACAATATCACAATCATAGTGTTAATAAAATTATATCTAATTTGGTAAAGAAGCTACAGTTTTACAGCAATCTTACATTTACTTGGAACGAAGTATCGCATTTGAGCAAGTGGTGGCATACGACTACTCAAAAAAATCGTTCGGTATGATATCTGACAGGTATATGGGTTATTCATTTATTGTGTGAGTTTTTGAGGATAAAATTTAGTAAGTTTATATTACAGGCGTTTCGTCGATTAGTGCGAACCGGACGAATTGAAATAACTACAGGGGGATGGGTAGAACCCGACGAAGCGACAACGCATATATTTGGACTTCTGCACCAACTAATGGAAGGTTATAAATATGATATTCGTAAATAAGCTAAATTCATAAATAGTTACGATAATATTTTGTTTTCTTTTTAGGACATCTATGGCTAAAACACCATTTAAATATCGTCCCAAAAACAGCGTGGCTAACAAACAGTGTTACTCATAGTCCTACTATGACCTTTTTACTATCTGCATGTGGAATATCTAACCTTGTTTTTACTAATGTTCATTATTCTTGGGAAAAGTATTTGGCTGAATATCAGTACAGTGATTTTATTTGGGTACAGAGCTGGGATAATAATATTTATAGTCAATCAAATCTCAATGATGCCCTAAATAAGATTGGCAAGGAAAGATTTCCGAAAAGCTCAGTAATTACTCACTTTTTGCAGTTCAATTCGGATGGATTCAAAGCTTGTGGGCCTGATAAAGATGTTTGTGCCTCACACTATAACTTTGCAAAATCAAGCAAAAACGTAGTCATCAATACTTATAACGTAAAAGAAAAATCTGAAATACTTCTTGAACAGTACTCTAAGACAGGCACTATTACACCTCATAACGTAATTATTGCTCCGTTAGGAGGTCCGTACCGTTATGAGGTACAAACAGAGTTTGATTATCAATTTAGTAACTATCAAAAAATCGCTGATTTTGTCAATGTTAATCGCGAAATATATAAAGCAACAATACAATTTGGCACTCCAAAAGACTATTTTAGCAGTATTTTTGAAAAACAAAAAATATATCCGACACTAAAAGGAGATTTTCTAAATTTTGCCGATATCAGTAATGGTACTCCGGCTTACTGGTCAGGATTTTTTACGACACGACCTTTGCTTAAAATTCTCTTAAGGCGTCTTGAATGTACTCTACGTACAACGGAGATTCTTTTTTCTTTTGCATTAAGTTCAAATGCTTTTAGGGGAAGTAATGTTTCAGATTTATTCAATATTTTGATAAAGGCAAGAGAAACAACTGCTCGTTTACTTGATCGAAATGTTGTAAGCGGTACTTTGACAGCAAATGTTTTAAAATATGTTCATAAGCAAATATTGGTGACTGTCAAAGATTGTTGGTATATACAAGAAACAAGCGCAAGTTTAATAAGCGTAAAATCCGATCAAAATGTGACTTATCTTCAGAAATATGTGTACAGAAATGGAGAATTTATCTCAGTTTTTAGAACTGTTACTTCAGGAGATCAAATTTATGTATTTAATTCTTTAAGCCATGAAAGAACAGAGATAGTGGAATTAGTTACCCGAAATCCTAATATTAGAATAATAGACCATAATAGAAATGATGTTACGATACAAATAAATCCTATATGGAATTATCAAACAGAAAATATCATAAAGATTTCAAGACAGTTTTTTTTGGTCGCTTTCGAAATAGTTGTACCACCCTTAACGCTTGAACTGTTCAAAATAAAGGAAACTTATGATGCTTCTTCAAACGCTGCCACAATTTACTGTGTTTCATGTGTAGTAGACGACACCCCTAGTAATGGACCGATATTTCCTTTTAACATTGAACCAATAGAAAATGGAGACATTCAGCTAGAGAGTTATAAACATCGGCTCATATTTGATGAAATCTCCGGTTTTTTAAAAACAGTAGTTGAAAAAGAAACGAATAATAAAAAAGCTGTAGTGATTGATTATGGTGCTTTTAGAAGCTCAGATATAAATTCAGGAATGTTTTTATTTAACACAAACACTTCTAAACCACTACAAGATATTTTATTACCTTATCGTATTGGTACTAAATCCAAAATCGTTTTAATAATTTCTGGACAAGTTACTACAGAACTAACCACAATTTTTGGCCGAATCTTGCAAAGTACTTTTAGAATATTTAATTTAATTAACAGTCCTTTTTCAACTGCAATTTTTTTAGAAAGTAAAACAGATTACGAAGCATCGCCGAAAAATAGAGAATTGGAACTGTTTTTATCTATACAAACTGATATAAATAATGGTAATCCACCTGAGTTAATAATTGATAACAACGGTTTTCAATACACACCTCGGCTTATAAATATAAGTAGACGAGTCGAATCAAATATGTACCCTATAACCAGTATGGTTTTTATACAAGACCACGAAAATCGCCTAACGGTACTGACCGATCACGCTCAAGGAGTAACATCTTTACAGGAGGGTCAATTAGTAATTATGTTAGATCGTAGGGTACTTTTTAATGATGCTCGTGGTTCAGGTGAAGGTCTAGCTGACAGTAGTACTACGTATCACAAACACATTTTATTATTAGAAAATTTCATAAATTCTAAGACTTTAAACATTGTCCATCAAAACACTAAGGTACAATTACCTAGTTTAAATGCTTTATATTTAGCCAATACACTAAATTACCCTTTAGATGTGTATTTTATTGACAGATCCCAAGCAGATCTCTGTTACTATATGTTTCTTCCATTGATTAAAACTGCTTTTCCGTGTGATATTTTTGTTTTAAATTATAGAATAATATTAAATAAAGGTTCACTAGAAAGACTGTCCGTAAACACCGCTCTACTAACATTGCATCGACAGAGTTTCACGTGTGAAATAAGTCATTATATGCAACAAAATTGTAATGGGGATGGAACCTTTTCATTGGAGAAAATATTTCGTAATGTAAAAGCAGTTTATCAAACGAACTTATGTGGCACGAATGAAGGAAAACCGATTATTAATATAAATAATGCTAATTTTGCTCCAATGGAGTTGACCACGCTTCGGATATATTTTTAACACGGAAAGTAAACAAAATGTTTTTAATACCTACCGTAGATTATATATATTTTGAGAATACTCTGAGAGAAGAGGAGAATAACTACCTAAGTAATTAAGCTATCAATTACATAGTTTGGTTTATTTTCTAATAAAACTAGAAACGGTTTTAACAATGATGTTGTATTTTTTTATTTAATGAATGAGTATTAAAAATAAACATGGATTTATTATAACATTTTTGTAATTGCTAATAGTTACATATAAATGTTTTTTTAAGAAGTCAACTGGTTTTATTGTTTTATCTACTTTAAAACTGTGTTTTTAAATAGTATTACGTTATTGTTTTCACTAATATTTGTGAAAACTAACAGATTTTCGCAGGCAACACTGTGATTTTTTTCGCGACTTTGCCAAAGACTTATTTTATACTAACTAGACCAACAAAAATTGTGTAGTTGGCATGGTAAATATGCCATGCAGTTGTATTTTCATTTGCTACAGTAACTTTTTATAGGCAAATACGAAAAATAGTTACATACGTATCTGAATTGATCTTCAAATCACGTTGATAAAGTGCGCACATAAATAATGACAGCGATTACTTGTCACATTTCATAAAATTAGTGTACGATTGACAAAAACAACGCTCACAATTTTCCAAAACAAAGAACTATAGTTCGTGCCAAATCGATTGAGAAAAACGGACGATGACCTCAGATATGAGCCGAGTGTCAAAAGGCGTAACTTACAAAATCTCAATTTAGATGTGATAACCATATTTAAATATTGATATTATTCACACTTCTAGGTCAGCGCATATGTTTTTTTTTTGTTTCTTAAATAATATTGTCTGTGGTTCCTATAAACATCGTAAAATCTTACGGTACATCGCGAAAAATGTGTTATATTTTATATTTCAATTTATGGTAAGTAACGCAGCAATTCATTAGTAACAGTTTCATATTAAAAAAATATATGAAGCAATATAATCATCATATTGAGGTTTTGCAAATTCTTCCTTTTAAAATAAATAAAAATTACGTCAGTTTGTTATAAAAGAAACGTCACAATGGCAGCCAGAGATGCGTCATCTTTTTTGTGTCGGTCCAAGATACGAGTGATGATTGCACCGAATAAAAATAAATTTCTTATATAATATTAAAAATAAAGTTTTATCTTTTGAATAAGTACGTACTGATTCGGTGTCGTTATAACTCGAACCTTTATATGTGTTATAAATTAATGCTTTTTGTTGTTAAATGAATAAATTACTTTATAACAATAGATGATTTTTCTTCTACAGCGATCTTTTACATAACTTTTTAATAACATTTAATAAATATATATTATATCAATCATTATAAAAAATAAAAAAATCAAAAAAAAAAGAAAGTACTACATATAAAAAGTGTCTATATATTGAAAGTTTGTAGCCCCTGGTTAAACGACCGAATGGTCAACGTCCATTTTTCATAATCGATTTGGCACGAACTATAGTCTTCTCGCCCACTTTATAAAGGTTAAAGAAGCTACGGGGTATTGACTGTAACTTAGAAAGAAATGTATTAAGGGCCGCAGAGAATGACTAGTAGGCACATGGGCAACAACTACAGCATACGCGCTCTCATGATCACTGCATTTTCGGCAGCCGGGCTCATTACTGACAACCTCGAGCACTTCCTTGTGATGCAGCTATATTATAGTTGTAGTACAATGGATCGGCTCGACCGGGGAAGGATCACCTCTCACAGAATACCGGCGTAAAATAGTAGCTTAATACTGCTGCGTTTCGTATGGTGAGTGTAGAGATCCGGAGACCCTTTTTTAATGTTTACGAGGCATTCCGTCTAGTCCTCAGGGGTGATGCACCTGCGTATTGATTCTTAATCGAGGATAAATGTAGATGTATATGGGCCACAGCATCCACTTACCATCAGGTGGACTGTGTGCTCGTTTGTTACCCTTATTCTATATAAAAAATAAATATTTTTCTTAATTTTTCAAACTTGTTTTAATGCGGAAAGATAACTGATACGGGTTCTTTTTAGCTTAAAAATATGTCAGAAGAAAGGTTTATTACAACATCAAACCACCTTTCATCCGATGGTAATAAAAATATATTTGATTCTTTTGAGGTCTCCTAATAGCTAAACAAAAACCAATAACAAATCATTAGTGTTAGCTCTTGAAATTCAAAAAAGAACTCGTATCAGTTATCTTTCGGCAGAACTAATATTGACATAATATACCAAAGTCTATTGTCCTGTTTAAATTGTCTAATTTAAAATATCTACATTTTGAACTTTT